AAAAAAGGAGTCGCCCGACAATTTTCTCCAGAGCAGGTGATTGCATCAACCTGAGACGAATTGCAGTGGCTCACGAATCCAAGATATAAAGAGATGCTCATCATAATCCAACCTTCTCCAAGAACAGTAGGGCTTCCTCTGGAAAAATCTACTCCTTCGAGATCCTGCAGATCTTGGTGTGGAGCACCATTTCATGAGAGCCGAGAGATATGAGACCAAATATTGAGGTCACATGAATTTTATAGAGACAAAAATCTGAAACTTCTGATGTGGATGAAGCCTTAATGTATGTCAAACCCAAGCTCCTCAATAAGTACAGAAAGCATCTCTAACTCTTTGTATATGTCTTCGGTTCGAATATGAGACTTATCATTATATGAGAAGCAAGAAACACTTCCATTTATATCAATCCAGCTACAACCCGTTTCTTTCTTCAATTGGTTTTGTTTTAGTCTTGCTCTAATACGTGATGCATCCTTCCACATACCACGTGCAGAATATATATTGCATTGAAGCACACACATCCCAACATTACAAGGTTGATAGCCTAAAATTTTGTCTGCAATTAAGTCGCTTAATTCATAATTTCCATGCATGTTGCAGGCACTAAGCAATGCTCCCCACGCATATGTCGGAATATCCGAATGGAATTGATTGACCAATTTGAAGGCTTCGACAAGTAAACCTGATCTACCAAGAAGATCAACCATGGATGCAAGATGTTCTGGCTTTGGGGTCAGATTCCATTTTCCCATCAACTTCAAATATTTCCAACCTTCACTTACTAATCCAGAATGAGCACAGGCAGTCAAAAGGACCAAGAAAGTAACATGATCAGGTTGATATCCAGCATCCGTCATACGATCAAAAAGATCAAAAGCTTCCTCGGCAGAAGAGTGATGAGCATGAGCCACAATCATGGTATTCCAAGTTGCAGTATCCCGAATTTTCGTTGTGCTAAATACCACAGAAGCATCATTGATGAAACCACATCTAGAATACATGGATATCAATGAACTCATAACCATGCTATCAGTTTCATAACCAATCTTGACAACAAAAACATGCATTGCTTTGCCCCAACTTGGCATTGCAAGAATACCACAGACAGATATCACGGAGGTTAAGGTACCTTGATCAGGCTTGAGTCCATTAGATAACATTCGTATGTACAAAATAAATGATTCTTCGGTTTGATATCCAGAAATTAGAGTGTTCCATGAGGTCTCATCCTTGATAGGCATCTTCTCAAAGAACTTACGAGCGGTAGTAACATCATCCTGCTGAAGATATCCAGATAGCATTAGATTCCAAGAAACTACATTCCTCTCCGGCATTTTCGTAAATAGATCACGAGCATATTCCAGCTTTCCGTTACGAAGAAACCCAGTCAGCATCGAATTACATGCAACGACATCCTTGTGGGGCATTTGATCAAATAATTCTCGAGCCGATTCGACCCTCCGCTGGTCCAAATAACCTTTAATCATCACAGTCCAAGCAACTGCATCCTTATTGGGCATCTCTTCAAACAATTTCCTCGCCATGTCCACCTCCCCCACCCTCATAAAACATGTAAGCATACAAGTCCAAGAAACCACATCACGTTCGGCCATTTTCATAAACAAATCATATAACTTGTCAATGTGCATAGTTTCACCATATCCTGCCAACATAGCATTACAAAGCAGCACACTTTTACTTGAAGCTTCATTAAACAAGCTCTCAGCTTCGTTCACCGCCCGGTACCTAAAATATCCTTCGATCATCATTGCCCAGGAAACATCATTCTTCACTGGCATTGCATCGAACAGTACCCGACCGTCATCTATCCTACCGCAACTCACATATCCCGAAATCATGGAATTCCAGCAAGCCACGTTCTTCTTTTCCACTAAATCGAACAACCGTCTCGCCTCCTCCAACCTCCCATTCTTCGCGTACCCACTTAACATTGCAGTCCACGAAACTACGTTCTTACAAGGCATCGAATCAAAGACTTCACGAGCCTCGCAAATCATCATATTCTTAACGTACCCGGAAATCATGCAGTTCCACGTCACCACATTCTTGTTGGGCATTTCGTCAAACAGCTTGCGCGCATTTTTCACATCACGTCTCTTAAAGAAACTCGTGATTTTTGAGTTCAACTGGAATATAGAATTTGCTTCAAGCTTGAAACAACGGAGTAAAGAGTAGGCATTGCCCAAACTCTTGCCAATGAATGGCCTGTATTTCAATTTTACAAACATGTAGAGAGAGACGGTTTATGAGCTGTAACGCCCAAGTGATGAGAGAGGTCCGGCGCGAGTGATTCTAATTTCTACTTATCTTTATCTCGGTGGCTTAGATTTTCCGCCGGCGCCAGCAACCGCGAGGAGACGGAGATTGTGATACGTGGAGCTGCGGTTGATCTGCCGGTCAAAAACACCTGTGGTCATTTCCGTCAATTTACCGTTAGTCCGTCACTTAAGGCGTGCACATGCTTGATTGACTTAGTACTAATGGAAAGTTAACGGAAATGACTAAAAATATTAATTTTTTTAAACATGACTACATGAGGGAGCAACTGTGTTTTTTTAAAGGGTAAATTACACCCACATCCCTCAGGTAAGATGAAATAACTTTAAGGTCCCTGCAGTATCGGTAATTATAATCACCCCCTGAAACATAGTTAGAAACTCTAATGGGATAATGCATTAGATACATTATTCCGATAGGTGTCTAACGGACTATTAGTTTCAGGAAGTGGTAGAGACAACATAGTGCTATGGGTGATTTAAGAAATGTTGGGGGAGCCATGTCACCCGCTAGCTCTATGTTTTCTCCACCACTTGCTAAAAGTAATAGTCTGTTAGAACTCTATTGGAACAACGTATCTAATGCATTATCCCATTAGAGTTTATAACTATGTTTCAGGGCTGAGTGTAATTACCAATACCACAGGGACCTTAAACTTATTTCAGCATACCTCGGGGGTGTGGGTGTAATTTACCATTTTTTAAATATAGGGACCAAATGTAAATTAGTGTAAACTTGAAGGACGAAAAATGTATTGTATCCTATAACATACGCAAAATTAGACACCTAATCATCATTTCAGTTTACAAAAATGTAAATTGATTTATTTTATTTTATTTATTTCTAATTTCTCCAAATTAATCACCACTATCCAAATTTAATCTCCCTTGTTTCAAATAATCCAACAAAAAATACGTGCAACTGTGCAAGTGTGTTGTCTGCAATAACAGACATCAAATTTCAATACACACCACTAAACACAATCGGTTCGAACTTAAAAAAGAATGACAAATGCATTAGAAAAAGAAAAAAACAGCATATATATAACTACAAAGATGCCTCTTGACCCTTTTCACGAGCAATTGAAGCGGAAAGAATTCCTAAATCCCGGTTCAAGAAAGTCAGCGCAGTTTCACACTCGGAAATTATTCTCATAACCGAAGATGGCTCGCCGCCCACTGTTTCCGAAGATCCAACTGCTACAGCTGCATGCGAATCTCGAAGATTCTTCAAGTTTCCCAAAAACTGTCCCAGTAAAAGAAAAAACAGAGGATTCTGTTACCACTTACTAACCACCACGACTTAAATAAAAATTTATAATACTTTTTTTCTAATTTACAGACATAAAGAAACACATTCTAAATCAGTGATGCTATGAACTAGAGGTGGAAATCAGACGGATCAGATCGGAATTAACATTTTTGGAAGAAAAAACAATCATTTTTCGGGAAGAATTCCGTTCCTAAAAACAATTGGCAAAATCGGAAATTGGAATTACGGATATTGGAATGACAAAAGTTGTTCCAAACTCGGAAATTGTTGGATCAAAATCGGAGGGATTTGGAATTTTCATTTCTTTAGTCACCTACAATATACAAAATACATAATAGTATTTATGTTATAAGTGTAATTTCCGGGGAAAAATATTCAAAAATATTTTTGGAAATTAAAATCAAATCGGAATCTAATACATATCCCAGTTCCGTTCCTAAAACAATTGGAAAAATGGGATATCAGGACTTTCGGAATCCGGAACGAAAAATACTTTTCCAAGAATCGGAAATATTCGGATTGGAATTCGGAATGAAATACACATCAAATCGTCGAAATTTTTATTTGTTAAAACTTCAATGTGATTCTCCGCAATAAGTAACCAAATAATACTCGACGGAAGTGAACCAGAATTAAGGTTACCTTCAAAAGCATCTTATATGCTTCCAATAATCGATTTGCAGCTGGTCCAAAACCATGAAGCTGCGGAACCTCCATCATATGTGTCCAAGGACGTATTTCCTGCACGGTATTAAACAAAAATACATATCAAAATTGAACTGAGTATTGAGTTCTCCTTGATTGATTTGAGTAATTGCAAACAATAAACGGCAATTAAGTTCAATGTCTAAGTTAAAAAAATGGAAAGCGATAACATTCCGAATAGCTTGTTTTTCCAGCTCTTTGCACTCAAAATAAAGCCAGTCGAACCCTTAGAAATCAGAAAGTTAACTTTGTATCGGTTCATACTCATTACAGGCAAAACGAGTGTGAGTAGTGTAAAAATCTAACAGCAAAGATTAATTCAAAGAGTAACCAACATCTTAGAAATTCAAAAGTAAGCACTTCCTAAGCCATAAATTTTAACCGAACAAATAATTTCCCATGGAATTAGTGGAAGTAATGCAACAAGCGTATTAGGTAAACTACACAACGCAAACATGGAAACGATTAAATAAAAGCAAACCTTGGTGTAAATTGTATTAAAGCTTCTTGCAGTTTCGAGAAAAGATTCCAGATGTGCCCGTAACTTTCCTTCAACCTCCATGTAATCTTCATCGGGATTATACGGATGCTATACAGGAAATAATATAATTAGTGGCAATTAATCACAGAAATAATATAATAAGTGAATTTTAGGTAGAGTAGAACCTTGGAAGCTAAATCATCAACCATCTCTTGAAGGCTCAGAAGTCTGTTGGATTGATCTGAAAGTTGTTTTTCCAAATCAGATATGTCTGGCCTACAAATAAACTTTTGATTAAGGTAAATAAAAAGTATTTGTATTTGCTGAAGAGATATACATTTTAT